CGGCGGGCGCGGCGGGTTTGGAAGTTAAACCCCGGCTCGGTGTCCGCTGAGGGATCCCAGCCCGGGTTCGGTGCGATGCCCCGCGGCTTCAGCTTTGCCTCGTGTGCCTCGGTTCTGGGGACTTGGGGCGCGGCCGCCTGTTGTTGGGGGTCCTCACCGCCGCTCGGCAGCTGCAGGAGTTACAGTTAGAGCTGCGGCCCGGAAGTCTTAAGTTCGCGCTTGATTTTATTGTTTTGTGTGATTTCTGTTACCTTTCTCTGTGTTGCTGTATTTCTTCCAACGAGAGCAGGGCGGGAAGATACATAGATACAGGTGTAGATCCGTAGATCTAGAGATACTGCAGCATACGGGGAAAAGGAAGAGAGGTGAGGCAGGAAAGCTTTGGATATTTGAAATTTCCTCCAGATGAGCTTATACGTGTACCCAGTGAGCAGATCACACCACAAATTAATGTTTCATTTGAAATAAATCTCGTAATAATTTTCTAAATAGTACATGCATACTGCTGCATTTTTTCTGTTAGAAGCATTTTTTTGGGTAGTGTAACCATTAGAAATAAACCTCATTTTCTTGCCCTGTTTTCGCGTGTTTTAGCCTTTTAACACCCTGGCCCTACAGAAGCCCAGACTCAGTCTGTCTTCCCCACACGGTGGTGGAAGGCGGAGGCCGCTCGCGGCACCCCAGCCGCGGCCGGGCCCTCCTCAGTGACCTGGAGGGGTTACCCAGACAGAGGCAGATTTCCACTTGGCTTTAAGCAGAACGCCTTGGCTTCTCCTAGATTGATCCGAATGAAGCTAAAGGAGTAAGTAATGGTCGAGGAAGAGCAGGAACTTGGGGAGAAAGTACAGATGATGAAGCGATGGGTCCCTGGGTCAGAGACGCATGCCAGTGCTGCCTTTATATTCGTTTAATACCTAGTCGATAACTCAACGTGATTGTAACTGAGCTGAACTTTTATGCAGATATTCCAAATGATGCACTTATGAGGTTATAATGTGAAAATGCTTGTATTTAAAGCGATTTGATATTTTACTTTAATGGTGGTTTTATAAATAAAACAAAAAGGAAAGAATTGGCCATCATGCAAATACCAGGGCAGGATAAATCATGGTTCTTGACATTTTGATGAGTGATTTTTTTACCAGTTGCCTGCTGGAACAACCTCTTGAATTCCCCTTGGGAAGGGTGCTCCGCGTACACATTAAAAATGTCTTAGTTACATTACTGACTCACAAGTCATATATAAGTGATGGCAGAAAATGTTGCAAGATGCCTTGTGACAGCACGGAGCCCCTTGGGAGTGTCAGAGCAAGTCGGAGCCATTGACTCGGCTCTTCAAGGGCCACTAGCGGTTGGGCCACACCCTCTTTTTGACTCTGCTGGTGAAACAGTAATCATATTAATTAATAACTGCCAAAAAAATTTATCCCTTCTCAAAATAGCAGTTGGAAACTGAAGAGCCTCTGGCAACCGTAGATAATGAATAAGAACCTGCATATGACCCTGTAACTTCGGTGCAGGGCAACTCTACTGTGATCCTTTTTAATTTTTGTGAGTGATTATTAAAGGGAACAGTTTGTGTCTGCATCACTGAATCACACTGCACTATGTTTTTGAAAATTATTTATGTCAAATCACTTAGGGGGAAAATAGTCAATTGTTTTATTCAAAGGGAAAAATATTTCAAAGTTCATAAATTTGATTGTTCTTTCATTTTCAAATTAAAGACACTGCATATAAAACTCCAACTTTTAAGCTGGGACAAACAGCTATAACTTTGTGTTTCCATCCTGTTCTTATTTTCACGCATAAATATTACAGGGAAATTAAAATTGCTGCATATGTCTCAGTTTTAAGGCAGCGATAAATTAAGTCATTCTCAGCTTTATTGGATGAGTGCAGGCTCTTACTTGAAAAAATGTAAGTGTAGCCCTTTTATGATTATTTAAGTAGACTGTGGAGAAATTACAGGGATACTTGTAAATATATTTGCATCAAGAGTACAAATCAGAAATGAATTCAGCTTGGCTTGTTGGAAAAGTTTACTTGTGTGGAACATAAAAACTAAATTCTATAACCTTGTTAATACTGAAATCCTGCATCATTCACAAAGAAGCAAGAGAGATTTCTACGTTCTAATCTGTGTGACAACAGCATTCTATATTATCTTGAGGAGTTCTGGAGTAAGTTAGGGTGAAAGATCAAAGGCTGCCATAGAAAAAATACAGTCATACCGTCTGACAAAGGACGACTGTGTCTCTCGTTACATTACATCTGATGGATGGCAGCAGCTTTGCGTGAAATCCTAGTGTAGAATGCCCCAGATTTAACACTTTTGTTTTCTGGAGACCAGTGATTACGAGGTCAGTTTTGCTCCTGAGGTTGCCGTGGGGGGCTGGTGGAGTTCTGTAACTTGCAAAAGCCCTTTTGGAGGACAGGATAGGAAGTGTTTGGGCTTAGCGTCCAGAATCCAGTTTCTATATTGGCCGTTCATGGAAACTTGTTCTTGAACTGTTGGAGAGAGATTTCCAGTTCGGATGAAGTGTTGTCAGATTTAATCTCAGAAAACAAAAAACGAAAATGTCTGGGGGAGGGGCCGCGGAGACGAGCGCTCGTAATACCCGGAGCGCACAGTAGATGGCGCTGGCAAGACTTGCGGGACGCTCCGGACCTGTGCTTCGGTGGGTGATCCTCCTTCCAGCCTTGCTCCGCTGGTCCTGCTGCATCCGTGGGCTGGGAAATTTCTTTTCTTTTCTCATTTGTGTTTGTCTTTTTGAGGCAGGGCCTCTCTACGCAGTTCAGGCTGGCCTTGAGCTCACTTTGTAGCCCAGGCTGGTCTCGAACTTGCAACGATCCTCTTGCCTCAGCCTCCTAAGTGCTGGGGTTACAGACGTGCTCCACTATACCTGGCTAAAGGT